TGGCCAAAACCCATGGAAAGGGAAGCAAATCCATCAAAGAAAAAAGACTCACTACAGCTCTTCGAGCTTTGCTGAGAACATGAGTCGTGTTATGGACACAGGAACTGAAGCCTTGCTCCACTCAGTTGGCAATTCCCATTGTTCCCAGTCATTGCAAGCCTTTTAAATCCTGTTCACATGCTGCAGCAGTGTCGATGGCAGGGGTGCCGCAACTACCCTGGAGAAGCCATCCTGAAAAGGACTGCCCAGGGGCACAGGCACGTCCTCTGCCCAGCGAGTGATCTCAGCTCAGCGGCAGTGTGTAGGCGACGCACAGAGAGAGACTAGAGAGCTGTATGGCATTCCACTGAGAAATAGCCTTTATTAAAACAGGGCCCTCAGTGGAGGGAGCCAGTACCAGCAGCTCAGCCAACTGGGGAAAAACCGGTGTATTTCTAGGGAAGGAGAGGGGAGGGGGAAACTTGGATACATGTATCAGGGTGGATTGATAGGGAGGGAAAACAATGGGGTGTAACAAATTAACATGTTCAACTCAAAGGCCTCTGGGAGTGACACTTTTTCTCTTCATGACATAAAGTCTCTTGCCTCAGGAGAAGCTCTCCAGGGGAGAGACACAATTTTGAGGTTGTCTGGTTCTTTGGCCTCCAGATTTATATATGGTATTTTTTCTGTAATTGGCATGTTTGGAATAGAAACATCTCTTTAGCAGCAGCATGACAATCTGCAACTTCATCATTAGCTCCTTTGTGAATGGATCTATAAGATAACAAATACCTGTCAGTCACTGGGAAAATTTCTATTTAAAATAGGCATTCTCATTTTTCTGTTCACTACATGGACAATGGATTGTAATAGGACCTGGAAGTTGTTGGAAAAGTGTCATAGTAGTGTCACAGTACTGCTGGCCTGGACTGGACAAAGTGAATCTGACCACAACACAAATCCAATTCAGCTAGCCTAGTTTATGCCTGAGCATGTCCCTGGATAAGTTATAGGAGACCTTCGGCCAGCCCCATTCAAGGTGAAAAGCAAGCACACCACTGGCCAGGATGCTGGGCAGGGAGAGAGATCTCAGCCTGGCAGATTTGAATTGGATATTTGAGTTCTGAATAATAAACCAGGCTGTTGTCTCATGAGCACCTGGAGTACAAGTTGTGGGTTTTCTCCCCATCCACGACCGGTACGTTACAGAAAAGTATCTGGTTTGGTCAAAGAAGGCAAATTCACACCCTGGAGAATATTATTATGCTATGGTAGTAGCATAGTAGCATTATTTATTATAGAAAAATTGTTCTTACACTTGTATTTGCATTTTATTTCAAACCCTTCTCTCAGCTGAGGGACAGGAGTCCCTGTTCTGTAACTCAATTCAGCAGTGTTACATCAGGAACAAAGAGTTAATCTCTTTTTAGCCAATAATAATTGCCTACAAAACTTGGTTAGATATGAAGTTTACTTTGCCTAAATGGCCATTTAAAAAATCAGAATTGTGACAAAGAAAAATATCTTTGTAATAGAAAATAGAAAAAGTACCTGTGCAATGGATAGTTTAACTCCAAGATCAAAGTGAAGATTGTGAGTAGAAACTTTGGAGGCAGCAGATTTACAATTAAAAGGCAAAGAGCAAATGTTAAACTGTGTTACACTCAGACATGAGGAGTGATCCAGGTGATAGAAGTGATAGAAGTATCAACAAAAGAATAAGCAAGTTTTATAATTACATTTTTTTTTCCTTTACTTCTCATTGATTCAATTAAAAAACCCCTTGTTCACAAAAAATGTTCCAGGGAAGGCATTGCTTTGGCTAAGATGTACTGCAGGAATGACGATGACTTTTTTTACTGGAGTAACTGTCACATTCAGGAAAAGCTGTGAGGCAAAACAAAGTTTGAAGGGAGAGAAATAGAACACAGACTGAAAGTGTTTGTTTAACAACAAAGACTGCTGAATATTTTTATTTTTTTTTTTAATCTGTAATACCAGCACCTCTTTAAAATTCCTGTCTGGAATGCAAAGTGAAAAAAAAAATTTAAATTGCAGATATGTTTTAGCAGGTTACTACAAGTCCCAACATTCTTCTGAATTTAGCAGGGATGGGCACCTAAAAATTCAATGGGTTAATGTAGTTGTAGGTCTAGAACCCTGAGAGAAGAAACAATCCAGGAAGTTTCCTCAAAGGATGAGGCTTCAGATGGTCTTTGTTCAGACACTGAACCTGGTGTGGAAAACAGCTTGGGGCTCCTCCTCTGTTTGATGTAGCACTGCTCTTTGATTATCACAGCTGTATGAGTAAATGCTCAATGCTCTAATGCACAGAATCCAAAATCGTCTTTCAAGTAAAAGCAGAGTATTTTCTTACAGAAGATGTAAGAAGCTAGAAATTTGTCATTGCACCTTAAAAAGTAACCCAGCTCCTGGCCCTGGTTTGCATATGTCAGTGCCTTACTGTTAGCAATGCTCTGGTAAACAGGGTGGGCATGTAGAATTTGCAGATTATCTCAAAAGAAAGAAAACACAGTGACTTTGTTAGAATTAGATGAGAACAAAGCCTTATTAAATGAAAAAAAGTCTTTAAGGAGATGCCAGCATTCTTTCTAAATGTTCCAGAAAAAGCTCATAAGTGCTTGCACAGGCAATTTCCCATCCTATTGAAACGAATAATCAGAGGACGGCCAGTATATAAAACACATAACCAATTGAATTCTACTGCAACATTTAAACTAAAACTTTTAAAACTTTTAAAGAATTAAAGAGCTAAAGCCCAACAGCCAGAAGTTGTATGCTGTGGGGTTTGTTTTTTTTTCTTGTCATTGTTTATTGTTTTTTTGGAGAACTTCAATTAAATATCTTTACTTCACATTTCATACCATGTAAACTTTCCTAATTTCTGAAATTTGCATTTCCTGAATTTTTTCCTTCTTTTTTTTGATGTCTAATATGTTTCATTTATATATAACATCACTCTCAACAATTCATGAGATTGTTCATATTTAATAGGGACAATTAAACGAGAATTTTGTAATATTTTTAGACCTTTTGGAGTTCTTAGCTACAAAGCTGACTTTCATTTTCCTCTGTTTTAGGCTGTCTTGAGCACCTGGAGAAAGGCAGCCAAGATTAATAAAGGTTTACCATTTTAACACTGATTAGACATACAATTTAATATAGCTACTAAAAGTGAAGAGAATGCTTTGTAAGAAAATAAAGTATGGAAATGCCTAAAAAACAGGACAAGTGCGAAAATAAAGATATGGTAAAGCTTTGGATTACTTTCAATATCAAAATGACTTGTAAACGGACATGACTGGTTTGTCATTAAATTTTACCCATATTTACTTCATACTTAAAAGATTTGTGTAATATAAACATCTGGTACTAAGATGAATCTAAAGTTGTACATTTTATGATTTTTTTTTTTTTTTTTAAAGATATGTTGGCTTTTGGAATTAACTTTATATATGGGGAAAGACTACCAGACCCTCAGATATTTTTATGGATTTAATAATGATTTCATTATTAAATAATACCATTCAAACTTTAGAGTACAACTGTGTCGAAATCCCTTTGCTCCCAGACCTGGGAAGTCCTGGGAAGTCCTGCCCACAGCCTCCTCAGAAGAGTTTTCAGCAAGGCCATCTGTAATTTCTGGCTGCAACATTGCATAATTTGACACTATAGCTGTCATTTAAATTCCTGATTATTTTAGGAAAATTATGGCAAATCAAAATATTTAGCATTTTGTACTGTTTCTTCTGCTTGCAGTAAGTGTACCACATGTATGAACTGGGCTTGTGTTACAGGACAGGGACTTGGACTAATTGAGAGCATATTTGACCATGTAATGCTGAGGCATTAACTAATAATTGAGTATGCTCAGAAACCAGATTCATTCTGGCTATAATTCTGTCCTGCTGCTGTATAGGCAATGAAGAGAGACAAGGACATCTGACCTGGTGATCAGAATCAGATTTTACTGTGGACTACGTAAGCTTACATATCATTCTAGGAAAGCTAGTAATATTTTGCTACAATGATTGGGTTAAATGTCATACAAACATACAGATATACATGTGTATTTCAACATTGATTCAATCTTCTTGCAATCTTCAATGCTCTGTTTGTTCCTGCCAAGGCATCCTGGCTATCAGACCTCTTATGCTAGTCAAGTCCAAGGTGCTTTCTGATTTCACCATACTGCTGTAAGAGTCCTACCCAACAGACCAGGTTCTACACCTAGTCCTCTCACCTGTTACTTGGTATCTCACCTGAACCCAACATTTCAGAGGTATTTCTGGATTACCTCAGTATGTGTTAAAAAGATTGTATTTTCCACAGTGAGGTTCCTGCAACCAGTTTAAGTTATCTTTTGCTACTTAAGATGAACCACAACTAGAACAGAATATTTCTATATCTTAGACTCTACACAGACCTTAAGAAAACTGTGACCAGCTGATATTGGCTTTGTACTGGGGATATCTCAAATTAATCTCTCTTCTTTTGCCCAATTTTTGGGAGTGCTGAATTCTTTGCTGAGTTTAGCTGGCACTGGCAGTGCATTGAGCTTTCTGAATGGCAAATAGAAGGCTTTTAACATTATTATAATAGACCGTCAAAATGACATTTCAAGTGAGAATCTGTGGCACTGCCAAGACTTAATACACCACAGACAAGTGGCTTATGTGCTTAATCTCAAAGTGTTACTTCACTTTTTATTATGAATCAGTGGTTTCTCAGGAGAAAATGGTGTGGTTGCTTAGTTCTTTGGGGTTTTTTGAGAGATGCTGTCTTGTTTTTGATGATGTTCAGGCATAGCTAAGCCCAAAAACCCACTAATTGTAAAGGTGTACATTTAACAGCAATAACAATTAAATAAAATAATTGTTCTTATCAGAGTGGTATTTTAAACTGGGCATCTCAAAATGACAAGACTACAAAAGATTCATAAAAATCATGCATCTCATAGTCTAGGTTCTGATTAAAATCCCTTCCAAGTGGCAGTGGCAACTGCATCACAGAATCTTAGAGGTGATTATTCACAGGTTAAGGAAATAATTCCTTTTTTTTGTCGCTGCTGCACTGAATTTCATAGGCGTGTCTGTGGCTTGATGCCTAAGATATTTAAAGCAGGTTTTATTCTTACAGGGGTTTTGCACACTAAAGTGTCTGCCCAGGTTTTGTTTCCAAAAGTGAGGTATAGTGCTGGGTGTTTAATTTGGTATGTTACTTGTTCTGTTGTGTAAATAACTGCAGCGCCCTCCCTGTGCCTGTGTATTGCAGGGGCAAGCGAGCGCTGGTTATAAAGGTGGCGATAATTAGGAAGAAGCTGTTTAAGCTTGGATAAATGTTTAGAAATCATTGCTTAGGGTACTGCATAGATGTACCAGAAGGAACTGCACCCTGGAAGTGCTGTGTGTCTGAAACTGACTGCACCTACTCATTTTTAGCTCCTCTTTCTGACTCTGACTCTGCTCCTATTCCAACAGACCCGTCCGAGCCTGGCGTCCGCTAAACGCCTCCGCGTGGTGGGAGACGAGTCTAGGAAGAAATACCTTCAATCCACAGATGAGGCAGAAAGGACTCAGTACAAGGAGGACTGGACTCAGATGAAGGTAAAGTCCTTAACAGTCTATTTCTTCCCCATAACAAGTACTTCATTAGTGCATTCCTGGCCATGCGCTGCAGGGCACGTTGGAAGGTACAGGTGAGCGACGCTTCCGCTCGCGTCGAGGCGGACGCACGCGTTCCTCGTGCACCTTCTCCCTGCCTGACACGAACTAACAGAGTCTGCCGAGGTGTGCCTGACCGGCTGTGAGTGACAGATCTTTGTTGCCCTCATTTCAGTGAAGGAAACTGGGATTCCTTCTTGTATTCAGCACCACGTGTAGGTGTAAAGTTGAGCTGCCACGTGCCAGTTGAGACTTGATTTGGTCAAGGAGAAGAATTTTTGCCTAGGAAGATTTGGCACTCCAGTTTCTCTTGCATGGCAGAGGCCACCCGAGATCTAAATGTTGCTACAAGTGTCCCGAGCTATTTCCAGTACGTACTTAAAAATGTCTGTCTGCAACTGGAGCGATTCTGTGCCTTATCCGGAGATGGTGCATTCTGGCTTTTCAGCGTGCACAGTGACGCTCCCGAGTTTTAAAGTGTCGATCTTTCTCTCGTAGGTTAAGATGGGCACAGCTCTAGGTGGCCCATAGCTTGGGGTTCATCTCAGAAGGAGGGACTTCATTTGGTCACAGAGAAGACGTGCCTTCCCTGCAAGGAGCAGGAAAGATAATCTACAGCCTCTCGGAGAGGCTTAAACTTGAGTAAATTTTTGTAGCCACTGATGCTGTTGAGGAAGGTACGTGGATTGCAGTCACCTGAGGATTGGTAACTTTTGACAGTGAGTGCAGCACTTGCCACTGGCTCCCCTCCCTGGCTGCCATGCTGTGGGTTTTGGCAGCTGCATTGTAAAATTTGTTGGTAGATTTTGAAGTCGCTTCCCCTGTAAGCGTTCAGCCAGGGTTCCCTTTAACAAACACACTGTGTGGCAGCAGCGCGTTGCTCTTCATAAAGTAGAGATAAATTTCTGTGCTTCCTTTTTTAAGCGACTGAACTGCTCGAGAAACTGCTGCCCGAGATGGTGAGGTTTGAAGCCTCTCTGGAGGAGCTGGAACTCTCTAAGGACGGGGGCTCGTGATTCACCCGTAGATTTGCGCACATGCAATGTAGCAAACCTGACTTTGATTTCAGCCAAAGCTTAATGTCACTGTCAGAAAACTGAGTATGATTTTTGGCCCATAGTTGTTTACGAATGGTGTAAGCCATTATATAATCAAGTATATCATTGAGATGTGTCTAGTAGATGTATTACGGTTATAGTGCGTGTGTGTGTGTGTGTGTGTGTGTGTGTGTGT